CATAAGTACTGTTTTGGTTAACATTACACAACAAGAATCCGAGGAGAAACTCATCTGGTAACTTCTCTCGTGTTTTCTTCATTATCTGCACCTGAAACTCTCTTATACCTAAAATTTTACAACACAAGATCATCAATTAGGAGAATTTGCTACGATTCTCCGTTAATTCTTGTATAGAAGAAACCGTTCTCCCGTTCGGCGTGATGTAGAAAAGAGTTTTGGTAACCTCACCTGAAAGAAGTAGTAGGGCTGGGATCGACTCTCTCACGAGGAGCAAACTCGTTGTATAATTGAACAGAGACCATACGACTTGGTGCGGGTGAATTGTCTGAATTCAAACTTGCATTGCTTGTGAAGAACCCTGCAAAAGACCAATTGTGCGATAAACAAGAGCTTTGGTCAATTTAACAAACGTGAACGCACACATAGCACCAAAGACGAAGGACCTAATAGAACATTTGACCAACGATCCCCAAAGCTGCAACAAGAAAGTTGAAAAGGTGTATAATTGCAGAGGAACCAACATTACACGAAGATAAGACATTGCGGGTTCTTTACCGCAAAAAGTCTAACCTGAGACATGTAAATACTATCGAAACTATGCGAAACCAAACTGACATAGCAAATTTTTTGGGTTCTTCAAAGAAGCAAACCTTAAAATGGTGTTTTTACCTTGAAAGATTAGGAAGACGAAGAATATAACCGTTACAATCATAGCGAAAACGCTACTGCAGGGAGACGATGATTTTGCTTCTTTCATTCGTCTCAATGTTTTCATCCGTTCAATCCGAGCACGTTTTCTCATAGCGAGCTCCGTGATTTCCCTCATCAACTTCTGATCATTTGCACTCAATGACGGGCCTTTTGGAGGTCTAGGCGGCTTTGAAGGCTTTCTAGTCTTCTTAAACTTAACACTATCGAATTTTCGATCCGAAAGATCCAAACTTTGACTGCTTCTTTCTCTCCGCTTTTCGTCTCCTATTAACGGGTTTATCAAATCATCATCATCAGTCGTCTTTTCAGACCCATCATAACTCAAACGTCCACTCCAAACACTATCTAATCTCCCCTCTATAGAAACAAGATTCGTCGTAATCTCTTCTTGTGTCTCATTGAATCTACTACCACCTTCTTCAATATCTACATCAAGATCTTCTTCTCCTGACACAATCTGATCCATCTTTCACAAAATCAAAACCCTTTCTAACTTCCTCAACTCAAAAAGACTTGCTTTTTTAAGCCCTGAGATTAGCAATAACAATTCATCAACAAAACTGCAAAAATCAAAATTTGATACAGACAAATGTTAATAATGGTTTAGCTAATAATATCCTAATTTCATCGAATCACCGAAATAACCATTGATACCTTCGAATCATATTTCGTAAATCCTATCATTTCCGGAGAGAAAAAAAAAAGGTTTGATATTTTTAGGAACTTTCTAGATTCCTAAAATTCGAAGAGCAACACAAATCAAACCCAGATTCTAGAAAGAAACATCTAATGTAGTATTAAAGATTTCAATTTTTTTTATAAAGAAGAAGAAAAACAGAACGATTTGTCCAGACAAATAACCTTAACAAGCCACGAGCATAATCGCAAGTAATGTCGAAACCCCAGGATGCTTCACGGTACGAGGAAAGATGAAAATGAAAGAACTTTCAATCTAATTTTGGGAAAGGAAAGAGAGACTATTCGAACCCAAAATTAGGGTTCATATGGGTCAAACAAGAAAGGGATATGGAGAAGAAAAGTGATTTTTTTTTCTTTTTTGGGTTTTAAATATAAATAGAGAAACACAACACACAGGAATGTCTTTTTGGATTTTTAGTGTCACCGAACGAAATTGGAAAAAAAAAATGGAAAGATATAAAATCTTGACGGACTTTCGGGTCTTCTTTTATTGTTTTTTTTTTAATATAAAATTAGGACAAATCAAAACACAAAACTCCAAATACTAATTATCTTCTTTTTTTTTAAAGATAGAAACACAGCTAAAAATGGATAAGCTACAGTACTTTTATTTTTTCTAACCTAATTGGTGGTCTTTATGACTATTAACTTCTAAATGTCGAGTAAATATTTTACTACTTTATGCTTTCAAATTTAACTATTTAACGAATTTTGTCATTTTTATTCGATCATAT